TATATATATATATATATATATATATATATATATATATATATATATATATATATTGAATTTTTTGCCTCAATCAATGCCAACCTACCTCTTCAATTCCACTTTAAACCTTCCCAGTTCACCTGGAACTAACTGAAGGATACTGACTCCAACTCCTCCAGTGACACAATCCTTATAAATAAACCTTGGAAATGGAAAATATGCTAAGAAACTGATACTCTTTTGGAAGAGGCAGAGTCAACAAAAACATTAAAATCATACAAGTGTTTGATAAGGGAATAGATCTTTCATTGTGTCATTATTAAGAAAAGGCCACCAAATGGACTCTCTTTGAATGTCTATAAGCTTTATAATGTAGTGTTGGATGCTCCTTAGAGTATAAACTACATACTGTATCCAATTGGTTGTGTAATGGTCAAAGGTTCCTCCCCAGATCTAAGAGACATACATGCATGGGGAAAATTTTTGCCCTGCTCCTGTTACACATGTCTCTCTACATTAGTAGTAATTGGTTATTGATTACTATTATTATTGTTGTTAATACTATCATTTTGAAGCCACTCTCTATCATATTAGAAAATTTTGGATTGCAAAGTACACAGATAAGATCAAACTCTAGAGAAGAAAAGCAAAAAATCCCCAATTACCATGAAATCTTGCTAAGGAAACTTTATTCTGTATGTATTCTAGCAGCTTAGAGTTGGCCATCCAGCTAGACTTCGCAAGACTTCACTAATGAGCTCGGGGAACATATTCTTTGTGACATCTTTGACTCTTTACCACATGTGAGACTCTATCCTTGTAATCTTTTAAAGTCAGATCATTAATAATATACATAGCCTTTTCCTTCATGTCATCATTGGTCAGCATGGAGAATCGAGCTTGATTCGAAGACTAATCAAGTCTTCTTATACCTTATTAGTCATTAAATAATTAAAATAATGATGATGTTACATTTGAACATGGCTTAGTATTGATTAGGTGGGTTGAGGAAAAAAAAAATGTTTTCAGGGAACAAAAAAAAAAAAGGAAAGAGAGCATGAAATCTTAAGACAAACCATCCTTCCTTCCTTCCTTCCTTCAAGTTCGATTCCTTGGAATTCATCTTAAGACAATGTAATGGCCTGCCTGCTAACATTAAAGAATCAGTACTCAAAGAAAGCACAAAGCTAATGGAGCTCAACTCACAGAGGGAAAAAAAAAAAAAAGGCAATGGTAGATTCCTTGGATGCCTTACTGTTGGTTAGAGTGTGTGAGACTTTGTTATCTCTCCATGGTCATCTCCAATGTGTCTTGCCATTTGTGTGTGCCTACCTGCTGAAAGCTTGGGAAGCTTTGCATGATAAGGTACATTTTTACTGGGGCCAAACCCCAACATGACTTTAAAAAATAGATTAGTGAACACGAGATTAGTTGGCATGGCACTGCTTTTGGGAAAGCTAAAACAAAAGTGCTAACAAGGATAGGAGTGGGGGGTTTCAGATCTCTTTTCACTTTAATCTTCCATCAAGGACCCCCACAACAGATACAGGAACAGTTCCATACTCACACAATGCACCTACTTTAAAATCATTAATCAGGACAAATTTCATCAGCTCATTTTGTTCCTCAGATTAAAGAAGGTCCTCGATCTTCCTTTCTTATTTGTTTATCAGTGAACATTTTTTTTATCTATGATTCTTAAGGATACCGATCATATGTCTTTTACATGTTAAAAAAAAAAAATCCATAACACTAAGATCCATTTGTATAGATGATGTGTTTATCGGTGATGTTTTTATCAACCTGATTCAATTTTGAGCTGCATGTGTAGGAATCCAGGATTGTAACTTGGACGCTCGCCTAAAGATTGACTTACAAGAAGACCAGAGTCGAATGGGGTGCTCAATCTGATCCCTTCGACGCTCAATTTAGAGCTGAAGTAGACGTGGGGTCATGGGTAAATAGTAACTGACCTCCATAATAGTAAACTAGTAGGTTGAGCGTAAGGAAATATTCTACGATACTAAATGTGACTTAGAGGACCCCGAGATGCTATGATGATCTTTACGACTTTATATTCCTCTATCTTAAGAGCACTTCAGGCGAGCTTTTAAGTTTAGTGTGTTCTTTGCACTTAGCCCAAATAAAACATTTTAGACATATTTTTCAAGCTTAGCCTATGAGGGGTATCTTGAACATAATTTTTATATTTGGCCCGAGAGGGATGACTTGTACCTATTTTTGATGCTTAATCTGAGAGGAGCATCTCGGGTTCATTTTTCATGCTTAGCTTGAAGGGTCATTTCGAGCATTATTTTCATACTTAGTGTAAGAGGGGCATTTTGAAAATATTTTTCATGCTTAGCATGAGAGGGGCATCTCTTGGCCAAGCTTCCATTTATAGAAAAATCTCCAAAGGTCATGTTCAGATGAGGCCTTGAAAGTTGAATCAGTACCTCAACAGATGAATGACACTTTGGCAAGCAAAGTGGGGCCCTTGAAGGTATAAGATGGACCACCTCATCGAGGGTGGGGCTCACTTTACATCTTGAGCCCCACCTTGCTTGTTTCTTCATATCTTTCATCCTCTATCTTGTGTCTCGGATCTTTGAAGCACTCAATCCCTCCTCTCTTAGCAAGTTGGGAGAATATCTTTTTTCAACTCGTCTGAGTCTTGAACTCTTAGCCAACCGATGCTTAAGAAGTCTAAGGCCCTACCTTTGAATAGCCTAGTGGCAGGAGAGGGGGTCTTATCCTCCTCCTCGTGATAGGTGGTTCTAATTAACCTAAAGGTCATCAGGAACCTTCATATAATGAAAGGATCCTACAATCAAGACTCGGTTGTGACCCCCCGAGCTCCTAGAGTATGTGCACCTCAAGTTCTCCATTCCTTCCAAGCATCAGATGAAGGTACCTTAAGCCGAGCAATGCCTATTTGATTTGATGTGTAGATGTCTCTGCTTGAATATCAATGCATTGGAGACCGAGCTCAGGTTCCCTATCAAACATTTCATCTCAAAGTGTTTTTGCTAGTGGAGGATCTCTCCATCTTAGATGTTGCCCATGACACTACTTGATTGCCTTTCTTGGGGAATGCTATTATGTTGGCATAAACTTGACTCTGAATATGTTTTACTCTTATTTTTTAGTCTATAAGAAGACCAATGAGTACTATCTTGTGTCTCATTAGGGATTTACGATGAAGGGGGCCCCAAGTTCGAATAAGGAGAGAAGCCTAGCTAACATATTAGCTTCGACATTATTCTCTAAAGGCATTTGGAAAAATCAAACTTAAAGAAATAAAGCATTAGCTTCTATACCCCAGTGAGGTAACTTATTATTGCTTCGTCTCGGGCCTCAAAGTCTCATCTAACTTGATTCACTGATAGTTGCAAGTTGCTATAGGTCACTAGTCTCGGGACCTCCAACTCCCTCGTTAATCTGAGTTTGGATAGTAGGGCCTTGTACTCCTCATTGTATTTTGAATCTAAAGTGGCCCGCTTGCTTATACATATGCATTAAGCCTCTTGAGTACAAGCTTAGCAACTTCTCCTTCTATGGTCACTAAACCATCGATGAAGAGAGTCCATGTGGGGAAAACAACCTCATTGATCGGGCTTGATAATGTTAGCTTCGATATGAAGTCCGTTAATGTTTGGCTTGGCCACTACTTGTATCAAGACAGATCAAGGCAGTTCCTTTAGGGTTTGCGATGCCACCGACTGCTAAGGGATGATAGGTGCCAATTGAGCCAGTTGTGGTAGTAAAAACATGATCGACTACATCTCATCCTTGTCAATGTTTGAAGCTATTGAGTAAGGTTCATAAAAACCTCGATCGGCACTAGCATATAGGTCGATGTCACCATCATAGGAGAGAGATTGAGGTAGTTAAATAGGTACCAATATTGCATTAGAGTCTAGGCAGAGGTAGTGGCATCGAGAGTTTGAAAGGTCGGCTATTGACCTCCCTTAATGAACATGCTATAGATTGGTGGTGGTGCACCCTCACTTGAGTGCCCATTGAGTAGATTAATTTGACACTCATACGATATGAGACCCTTCTTCTGGCGCTAAAATGATGAAGTGTTTATTGGTGATATCTCTGTCAACTTGATTTGATCTTGGGTCATGTGTGTAGGAACCTAAGGAGGTAGCTCAAATGCTTGCCTGAATATCAACCTACAAGATGACTAAAGTCGAGTGGGGTGCTCGTTTTGATTCTTCCGATGATTAAGTTAGGACCGAAGTAGAAGTGGGGTTATTAGTGAATAGTAATTGACATCCGTAACAGTAGATTAGTAGACTGGTGGGCTTTTATAATGAGCCAAGCCTAAGAAAATATTCTATAATATAGATAGGTGACTATCATATCATTTTAGTCTGAAACTCACTCTCTCTGTTGAGATGATAATCACGTGATAAGCTACGATTGGAGGATGAGTTTTTCCTCCGATAAAA